GCTTGGCTTCGAACGCTACAGGGCGCGAGAAAAATAAATTGGTGAAAATGAAAAACTTGAAACAGTAGCTTCCATACATTAAGGAGGAATTTATATTTCTTTTGCGAATCAATAATTAAAAAAGACACGAAGAAATAACCCTTAGATAGCTTCAACATACATTTTTTTTTGTTTTGTTTCTGGTTCACATTAGTTTGTGTTTGAGACACATTGCCCAGGTTATAAATGCAAATTTTTTTTATAAACTAAGTCGCGTTGAGTATAAATATTATTTTATGCTTATGCAACTTTTTCAGTTTATTATCATTGTTACTAGCTGAATACTCGTTCTTCCTGCGGTTTGAAATAAAACTAAATAATCAATAAAGCCGTAATGATCAACATTACGAAATCACGCACAAAATTGAAAGAGATATGTGGTCACAGTTAATTAACTTTTTTTTATTGTTATTTGCTGTTCTTCCTGATGACCTTAGACTATTAGTTTAGCAAAGCATGTAAGGCAAAGCTTGTTTTTAGAAGTTCGCTTTCTAAAAATGAAGATTAACAATGTTCAGTATCATTTGGCATAATTCTATTGCTCGAACCCATTTGCCCAACGCCTGATAGTCAAAAATTACCATAATCAACAATTTTCTCCGGCATTTATTCCATTCGGTAGGTGGAAAAGAACCATATCTCCCTAGTATTAAAAGTAGGTATCATAATACTTTTTTTAGTATACATATTACATATTAGGATAGCATTGATTAACATAATATCTGTAATACCTATTACCAATTTTTTTTTCTATCTTTCAGATTATTTTTTTAAATTGAAAATAAGAAGGGGCTTATTAACAATCATTAAGATATATGAGTACACTTAAAATATCCGAATCTGAAAGAATCTGAATCCGAAATGATAAGCGTAATATATTCGACAAAACTAATGGCAACTTTTTTTATAAAAATCGGCCCAGAGGAGACAGATTAAGTTTACATATGAACGCAGGGACCGATCAAGACAAATTCAGGCCCAAGGCCTACCAAATTTTCTGGGACCCTTACAAGATATTTTGAAATTAAATTACTGAAGAGTAGTCCTAACAGTGAAAAAGAATCTATTGAACTGCATGATTCAAGAGGAACATTCTGAGAAATTTTGAAAGCAGACAATTGAAAATAATTTTTCTAAGATAAATTTTACGTAATCTATAAATTAAAGCAAAATATAAAACAACAAAACAATGTTATATCAAAATAAAAATAATTTGGTGGTCACAAACAATTGAAATCAGTGATTTTTGCTACAAGTCACTAATTTTTATTTAATATTGTTTGTTGTAACACCGTTTTTTATTTAATACTTAAACTAACAAAAAGCTAGTCCACCTTTCATTAAACTTTTTACTAATTTTTGAGGCCCCTCGGAAATTGTGGGCCCTGGGCCCATGCCTATTGGGCCTAGGCGATAATCAGGTTTTGTATGAACGAATCATAGAGATAGATAGTTATACTCTATTTTGCTCCCAGCCAGCAGAGATTGCCGAGCTGATGCAAATTATACTTTGTAGAAACATCAGAGTTCCATTAAAACCGGGCTCATCAAGAAAGGCTTTCGCGACTTTTACATTCATTTTGTGCAAATGCTGATTAGTTTCGCTTAAAAGAATTCTTCTGGAAGATAAATGTGGCATTTTTCTTTAAACTGTCTAGATCAGTGTTTCCCAACGTGGGGCCCACGCCCCACTAGGGGGGGGGCATTTTGATTGTTGAGAGGGGCAATTCGAAAATTGACTTGACACGAGTTTAACCCTTTTGCTCCGGGCCATTTAAATGCAATGCTAGATTTCGGTGCCAAAATTGAAAGAAAAAAACAAATTCTTAAATAATTGAGTCCAATAAATATTACGTGACTTAGCGATTTTTTAGGCAACGAACCTGAAATGAAGTATCTGTTAACAGTCGATGGTAAAGCATTTGTGAGTTATTTAGCCGNTTAACTACAACAACAACAATCATGAATGATGCAGCCAATGCTAGTGCATTTGTCTGATATATCAAATATGCAGTATCAAGAAGAACTCGCAGAATGATGAGTCAGTTAAAACTTTATTTAATATAAAATGAGTGATGAAATGGCTTTGCGAGGAAACAAATCAAATACCCAAATTCAACCAAATGTGCAAGAAAACTAATGTTACCGCTTCCATCTTCATATTTAGATGAATGTGGATTTAGTGCTGTAAATGATTTACTGGTAAAAAAAGAAATTGTCTGGATATAACACAACGATGAGACTTGAGCTAACCAAATTGGAACCTAACATGAAATCTCTGTTCAGCAAGCATCAAGCGCAAGGATCTCACTGAATTAAAATATTAAATTACTATAGAAAAATCCTTATTAAAATTATTTCGAATTTGAATTTTAGTTTTTCATTATATGTTTTGAAAATTTACTTACTGTGCTTCGTTAAAAATTTCCGATTCTTCCTAAAACCTATCCTTTAAGTTACTTAAGTGAACAATTCAATTTTTTAATATTAAAATTTATGGATATGTTACATAGGGGGGCATAAGAATTTTAGAAAAGATTAGGTGGGGCATGGCACAAAAAAGATTGGGAAACACTGGTCTAGATTCAAGGTTATGAAGTTGATAATGAAAACAAGTTGCTTAGCCACTGAGGGGATATGCAACTTCTACTTTTCAACGGCTGAAATTCATGAAGTGATAACCTATATTTCGAAAAATAAGAGTAACGTAGTTTACCACGATAGAAAAATACCTAAATTGTTTTATAAACATTTTTATAATTTAAAATGCGTCCTTTTTGCATGAAACTGCAAATTTTGAATGAAAAATTTAAAATTATTTGTGTGTTTCAACAACTGTGCTTAGATATTTTTTGTATTAAAACTAATAAAAATACTAGTATTTAATTACAGAAATTAATTAAAATCTAAACAAATAACAAAAAATTTTAAATTTTTTAAAATCAAAAATTACCGAGATCTCACCAATTAAAGCGATACATACCGGTAAAACATTTACTCCACGAAAGTTGAGCTCCAGCTGCTTCTAAATCGTTTTTGATCGGTTTTCGCACTGAGAAGGTTAGATAAAATTTGGTGCCAGTTTTTTCCAAATGAAAATTGCTAAAATTTTATTTCATAAATGTAAACCTAAATATATTTATATTTATTTTAGCTTTTGAAAAAAAATTATATCCGATGAAAAAATTAAAAATTCCCATATGAAAACAAGCAAACGAACAGGCAAATATACAGACCCCCAAAAATTTTGTGAGTTTCGTCTTTACAAACGTACAACAGACATAAAGATTAAGTGAAAAAACAAAAAGGAAGAACGTATAAACGCTCATTAACTCAAATTCACTAAACTGTCACTTAGCCGGTTCTTCCACTAAGCTCTTCATATGTTATGATTAGTGTTGCAAAGGGTGGAAAAGATACGGCTAAAGCCGGAAACAAATTATTTATTTTGCTGAGAGAATTTGAAAATTTCCAAAATGGGGGAATTTTGAGAATTTTCCGAAAACCAAAGTTATTTTTTGTATTTATTTTAAAAGGAATTTCTTCCATTAGCTTTTTACAGTCAACTTCGAGAAAAGTACGAAGATGTTGCTTACTTCTATCGTAACATTATCGTATGTGTTACAACAAAGCATTACAAGGACATTTCAATATTTAAGTTAATTCTGACTTAAATGTTAAATGGTTAGAAAAAAAACCCTAGTACCAGTTTCTCCTAAATTTGACCTTTGTTTAAAAAAACAGTTTATAATTATTTAAAGAAAAATACAAGCTGAAACTTTTTACCATCAGCATTAATATACTGTTAAACAATTTTTGTTTGTTTAAAGTTTAACGAGAGTAAATTTATGAAATTAAATTAATTATTTTAAAATTTATCGATTTAAGAATTCTATAAGTAGGGATAAAAGAAAACGAGCTAGAAAAGTAAATAAAATATTTAGCTTATATTCAAGAAATAAGGTTCTGACATAAAAAGAAAAATCCGCAATAGAGTAAAAAAGCAAAGTAAACTACAAATGTTGAAACTTTTATTTTTCATTTTATGTTGTCAAAATCGATGTAACCATAGAGTTATTTCTTCCTGGAAACTCATAAATCTAGGGTTTATTCCCGTGATTCAAAATTCTCGGATTGTTTGGTTCACTGATTGTGATGCACAGGTGTAATTTAACACAATCACCTCCAACTATAAGTTTAAAAACTAAATGAAACGGAAAACTGCATTAAGCATTGAGTTTAAAGTAAGCATTGCGAAATTTCTTAACTCAATGTTTAATGCAGATTTCCATCATTGCGAAAATTTTAATTCTCTGGTTCAGGCCACAATTACGATATGCGGATGGACCGGTGTGTGAATGTGTCCTCCCTTGAAATCGGGATGTGACGTATGTATGTTGTCTCCGGATCATTCTCAGAAATATTTCTCAGACCGTTGCCAATAGTTGTGCACCTCTAGTGCAACGTAAATAAAAGAAAGAAAATTTCTAAATAAATTTCGAATAATCTCAACTCGAAAAGTGTCATGGAATTTGAAAACATCGTACAAACAATGCAGAAAAAGAGAGAAGAAAGCGGTTGCCGCACTTCCGATTGTCTACGAGAAATTATGAAAACCTAATTTGTGGATCACATTTTTCTGCAAAAAACGTACCAATCAGGTTCCCTTATTCTCTCGACGGCGATCGGAGGTACAACAACCTCATTTGGTGAGACTGCTCATGTAAAGGGCCATTTACAGTGCATTCGAACTTGGAGAAGTGAGTTTGGAGATTAATCTCACTGGATGCAATTCTTTTCACATGCAAATGAGAACCAGCAGATAGGTAGGATATATTTATCCACCAAAATTTCACGAATCAAGATCTTGTTCCCATGCGATTTTTTCGCATGCGAGAAAAATTACATAACATGAGAATGGCCATTTCATTAATGTTAATCAGTCATTGTCTATAGTCTTTCAAATGACAGAAATAAGTAGCCGGTAACGTTTGTAGTAAATAAAAATGAGTTTGGAGGATTTTCAAAACAATAATTTAAGTTTCCCTTTCCGACCAATTCATGTAGTTTATTTTGGGAATTATGATAGTTTAATCACTTATGTCATTTGAGTAACTGTTTGCAGCTGGTTTGCATGAATAATAAAAGCATGTATAGTTTTATATTTTTTTATTTACGTTTGTTTATCTTACGTGATTAGTGATTATAGAAGTTATGCAATCCTGGTAATCAAAACTCCTTTAAGGATGAAATTTATTTCCGCGTTGACATAGTTGCTTTTTCACATTTTTTAAAAAATAAATACATTGATATTTTCTTGAAAATGGTGAAAATGTTTAATTTTATCGAAGTTTTTATTAGAAAAAAAAGATTAGGAAAAGCCCATTTGTCGTTGATTTTTAATTTTTTTTATAAGTTTACTGTATAGATTTAGAGGAGATTTCCGTACGAGAAAATCATAGAAAAGGATCAACTCGAAAGGTATAACTCGTAGCCACCCCTGGGCAAACATCTACATGTTTTTTTTTAATTTTTATTTATTTATTAAAATGGGGAATTTATTAAAAAAAATTGCAAATTTAAGATCTATTTGGCACCTTGGCGAATGTAGTTGGCGCGACTGAAATATCCCCAATAGTTGGCGTATGTAATATAATATTAGCTGAAAAGTTAACTTTTTCATTTGAACCATGAACAAATGGAAGCAGTTTGTTGTCATTTAAGTGAGGAAAAAAATACAAACTTTAGTTTTTTGTAGGAAATAACTTTTTTATGGTTGTGTCTAATTAAAATATGTGACTTTAAAAAGTTATTTGTAAGTAAGGATATCATTTTAAACCTGAAAAACACTGACAAGTATTATTTAAATTATTTTTTTATTTATTATTTTTTTACTTTGTACTTATAGAGATGGTTAGTAAATTACAGAAATTAGAACCTTTTTAAAAATATAGAACTGTTCATGATTTTTCAAATATGTTTATAGTATTATATTCATTTATATTATAGCCACCTCCAAGAATATTAACCTCCAATAATAACCACCTGCAAGAATAGAATAATGAAATTATCCAAAGTTTTAAAATCTATCTCACAAAGAGAAAATCATTGCAATTATAAAAGTCCTTACAGCTGATTTTTTAAGATCAAACTCTTGGGAAATGTATCATGCATGTAGTACCTAAAAAAGGATATCTCCAAAACAATTTTTTTGAAAAAATAATGTTTTGTCTCATTTTAAGAGTTATTCAATTTCACACTTACCATTAGGTGCCATGCATTCTTATTTTCAGAGTTAATGAGTTCTAGCCTTTTAGAGCCCTAACAAAATAGGCTAATCATGAGATTTGTTTCCATTTAACTCAAAATTCAAATATGATAAGTATATTAAAATGCAAATGCAATTCAAAAACATTAATTAAATTAAAATACATCCAGAATGTGTTCTATAAATGAAAGAATTAGTTTTTTATTGTATCGGTACTATGTATAATATTGCACGTAAGAAATATTACCAATCACGCTGGATTTAAAACAACTAAGCCTCACTTTCTAAGGGAGATGAAATGGATTTTTTGTGTATTAAACTGTGTACATTATAATTACTAAAAGTTTGATTGTTCTTTCCATTTAATGAGATAAATCATTAGATTGTTGATTAGATCTTTGTTACTTATTTTATCATAAGAAAAGGTCATTCCATTATAAAACAATTTGTGAACTTTACCTTTTCTTGAATTGTAATTATTAAATATCTACTTAGATTGTTTAAACAACAGTACTCAAATTTTCATAACCCTCATATAAAATAAATGTGTAGTCCTCATTTAAATAAATTAACAAATGTGAAATAGATAGATAGAATAGTAAAATGAATGAATGAAAAAGGAATTGCTGTGAAATGAATATTATAGTTAATCGGTTAATTTCTTTTTCACAGCACTGTGTTTGAAGTAAACAATAAACAAACTGATGAATAACTTTTGAATGATAACTCAAGGTTCTTTATTAAAGTACAGAAAGTAAATATATTTTTTTTAAATCCATAACAGGAAATAATCCATTTATTTTAAATAATTGTATAAAATGTTTATTTTATTTATTTTTTTAAATTTGATAAATCTGAAAGCTTTATTGTCTTAATATGATAAAAATATAATATTATCACTTCAAGCAAATCTTAGTGCTAAAATGTTTTGCATCTACTTTCTTCTTCTTTCAATTTGAATTCATCATCATAAATTGTAGTGTTCATTGTTTCCTCAGTTACACATCATATCATAATGATGTATATTCACTACAACTGGTTTAACATTTGTGTCATTAATATTGATTATTGTGACTTATTAATGATTACTTATTGATTATTGTGAATTTATTGATTATGGGACTATATCTAATACTATAGTTGAAAAAAAGAAAACTATGTTTTCCATTTCTTTTATTTTCGATAAAAAAGTGACTTATTTTGCTTAGGTAAAATATTCGTGTTATTTAATTTGTATTTTCTTTATATGTTGTTGTTTTTTGCCTACTGTTGAGTAAGGCTCTGTTTCATGTATGGCTTATTTTTTTCTGAATTTTTTTTTTTATTGTTTTGTTTCAGATACTTGTTAATTTGTTAGTAGTTATGCAGGACATCACTGAAAAAAAGAGGTAATTTAAACCATGAATTTTTTTCTTTTCAAATTGTGGAATTAAAATTTATGAGAATGTTAATTTTTTTAATAATGTGCTCGAGTTTAGTGCAATGCTTAGTTATTATGCTTGTTGATTTAATTTTAGTGAATTAGTAAAATGTTTTTCAAAGTACAAGAATTAACTGGAGTAATAAAAAAAAAAAAGAAAACAGCGATGATATACTTGCAATTATTTATCTTTATATGTTAATGGAAATGTATCTATTAAGTGCTTACATTTATTTTGTGTATTATGTAGGATCTAGTATTTTCACCAGCTCTGTAAGTGGCCAAATTATCTTCTTTTGTGTGAATAAAATTCAGTTGTTATTGCTTTGTCTATCTTTTTCCACCCAGTAGCACTTGTTCTCTTAAAAATCTTATGAGTAGGAAATAGTTTAATTTATTTTTGCAGGTCACTATGTGTGTTGCTTGAAAATGTAATACAAATAATAAAAAAACAACTATAAATCACTTTGAATTCTGATTAGGTAATCAAACACATGCATAGTTCCTTGAGATTATGGCTGTTTCTTTCTAGGACAGCATCCATTACACATAGCACAGGTATAGATAGCCTAATTATAACTTTACAACTGCATTGAGATTTGTTAATTGTTTCTTTCTTTTTTTTACTGGTTCTCACTGGTACTGAAGTTTTTATACTGGTACTCCTTTGCTTAAGCAGAATTGATTTTTTACAACCCTATTGCTCTTTTTTAAAGTTACTGTAGGATTTAAATTTTTCTAACCTTTTTCACCTAAATACATTCAAATTAATTACAATTAGTTTTTTTTTCATGTGCACAATTAGTTTTTTTTCATTTATTATTTTTTCATAATTATGCTGCCATAATTCAGTTCTACTAGAATTGTTTTTTTTTCTCTCTATATATTTATGATCTTTTTTTTAAAATTTTCTATATTTCTTATATCATCTGAAGAGAATTTCCTTGTCCCCTACATCATAAGTATTGCACTTATTGCATTGATCTCTGCATAGAGTCACAATTACAAAATTCGTCTTAAAAATTTCTTTGTAGATTTTTAAACTTCGATAAAAAATCTCACAGCTAGAGCATTCGTGTAAGAGAATGCTAAACCTGTGTTATGAAACGAATGGCTAATTTGACTGTTTGATTGACATATCAAAATATGAGGCCATCAAAATATAACACTGAAACAATATTTTTATTATTATTAGTGCAGTTTAATCTTCACCTTCTGCTAAAAAAAGCAAGTTATGTTATTTGTATAAAAAAAATTTAATATTGTACTATGAATTGAATTGGGAGAAAGCTTCACAAATTTTGCGGAAGCATATAGATAAGCTAACATCAGCTTATTTATAGTGTGAAAAATTCTAAACATATTAAAAATTTTTTAGTCGCTATGCATAGCAAAAATGCTGCCTAACTTTCAAAACCAATAAAATTGGGTAACACTTTGGAATTAAATATTATTTTCTAAAAATTGTTAATTAAAAAAAGGAGGGTGCTGCTTTAATTTTTAATGCTAAGTTTAATAATAAGGAGAGTTTTAAAGCCAGTTATGGGTGGTTTCATCAGTTTAAATCCCCAAATAGCATACAAAATATCACCAGGGAATTTTAAAATAAAATATTTTTGGAACTGATTTTTTGTGCGCTTGCACTTGTTTTTCGTAACAAAATAATTTCAGCTACTCATTAAACTATTAGTTAAACAATTATAATTGTAGACAAATTTTAAACTCACACTAATAATATTAGTACATTTAATCTTTCAGAAATCTCATATCAATGTTTCAATTTAAATCTAAAGCATACAGATAAAAAAAAAAAAAAAAAACTATATAATTTGAAATCATTTTATAACATATTATACAAATTGGTAATATTAAATGAATAATTCGGTGTTGTTGAAAGCACACTTTTGCATCTACTTTTTCTCATGCCTGCTCTTGTAACAAAAATATTATTTTCAGCTTTTGTATTAGTAAATTTTTGATAACTTTTTTTTGTCCCTCTTCCAGGGATACTTTGAATTACTGAAGTTTCACTATGTGTTTTTGTAATTGAATGTTTATTTATTTTTTCGTAGAAATGATGGAATGAGGTATCAAGTTTCATGCAGACAGTTTTATTCTATATTTACTGTGGTTTATGCAAAGAGTAACGATGAAAAAATTGCCAAAGGAGCAAAAGTATAGTTTTCTTTATTTTTATTTTGATTTTATTTAATTTGAAACATAAACTAGAAAACCATATTTTTATAAAACAGAAATTACAGCAACTACCTTAATAATATTCTTAGTGTCTAACAATTGCCGAATAATTAGATTTCCTATCCTTATATTTTCATTGTAGGGAAATCAATCTGGTTATATGATTATTATAAATATGCTTTGAAATTTCAAGTATAATATTTCGAACATGTAAAATATTTCTTTATAAATTTTAGTACCTCCCAATTGGTATAACAGGTTAAGTTTTTGTCTACCATAGTTTGAGCTGGAGGTTTGATTTTTTTTGTGCTAAGGTTTGGTGTCTGATTAACTTGCACTTCCTCCTATCTTGTAGTTGAATCATGTTCGGAATATAATCTAATGTAATGTCTCTGGCAGTTTCAGAGCTGGAGAAGTTCACCCATTGTTGTTGAGTGTGGTGCATAGACTTGGTAACTACTACCACCTTCTGCCGTCTTACCTGAATCATGGTAGTGTAGTGTGCTTATGTGCCAGTGTTGTCTCTAGATCATCACTAAGGATGAATTCCTGACTTTCACCAATAGACTATTGTAGTAGCTCTAGTGTGACATTAACAACAAACCAAACAAAACTGAATTTTAATATGAAAATTCGCGAAAAAGTATTTAATTATGCTTTTGAGAGACATTGCTCATAATTTTGTCATCAAGATATTAAAATTTTTTTCTATCTGGCATTATTATTCTGAACCTGAGAATCAAAGCACCTTAATGTTAAGTTTACTTTTTGGGTATTTCACGAGAAATTTTTAAGCAAAATAAAAAATTTTTTTGCACATAATTATAAAATTTGTTTGTCTAAAAATAAATAATTTAATTTTTGCACCGAATTATATTTGTGAAAACAAATTTTACTATTGTGTGCATTCAAAAAAAAAAAGAAAAAAGAAAGTCAATCTATAGATAAAGTGGAACACGTAAACAGTAAAATTAGCATTAAGGGGTCCAAACTTTTGACTGCTCTCACTACCAAACTATTGGGACCATATTTCCCAGATAGTGGCTATATATACTATTTTGATGGTCTGAATTCCAAATAAGATTGGAAAAAAGTTATATTTATTTACATTTTTGTATCTGATTTTGTAACTTAAAATGTTATCTGTGCAGATAAATTAGCCTAGTTGCAGTTACTTCCTCAAACCATTAAGATTGAGCCCTAATACTTGAAAATTTGATTATTAGATCAAAAGCTATTTAGGGTGTTTAATTTTTCTATGCACTGAATAAGTTAATAAAAAGTAAAGAAAGTATTTCTTCATTTCATTTTATTGTGGCATTTATTACTGGAAACTGAATGAATTATTATGACTGTCATGAATTTTTTGTATTTGGGTTAAAAACAAACCAAAATATATTAATTTTTTATTTTTATTTTTCACTAATTTTTATCAAGATCTTCCAAAAAAAAAAAAAAAAACTCATAATGAAAAATATTTTTCATAGCTAAATTGTTTGTAACAATAATATAAGAACAGCCTTTTTCTTGATTTAAATAACCTTTTATTTTCTATCAACAGTTATGTTGCTGTGTTTTTGATACTGTTTTAATTGAATACAATTATCTATGTATGTCTTGTTTTCGTTAAATTCTCCTTGTAGGTTGTTTTTGGCATTACAAATATTTTTCTAATGTTAATTCTTTTTGATGTTAATTTTGTATAATTTTTAGTCCATGACATCAAAACACTTTCTGGCATCATTATTAGCAGGAGGAGTAGCTGGAGCTGTTGCCAAAACTACTATTGCTCCACTTGATCGAACTAAAATAAATTTTCAAAGTAAGTTTTGTTTGTTTCTTGAAACAGTTGTGTAATATAGATGATTATTATAATTTTTTACTGGTAAATTCTTTCGAAATTGTAGATATGTGATCTGTGATTTTGGGACATTTTGGTAATTTGACACCCTGTTTGACTGGCTTATTAAGTTAGTATCAAAAATACTCAATGGATAACATCAATATTCAGCATTTCTTAATGATTTTACTGTTCTAATGAACATACTGATTCCACATACATGTACATCCTGTTGTAATTTATTCTTTGTCTCTTACAAGACAAATCTTTATTGACTCAGTTACCAGTGTAGTACTATATTATCAATATTTCTGATTGTCTATGGTGACAGAAATGTATTTTAGAAACAGAAATGCATCATTTTTGCATTAAAGAATTAATTGGACATTAAAAAAAAAGAATGATAAAAAACTACATATTTATTAAAAGGATATTATCTAAGGCATTATGCTATCAAGTATTTAAAGAAAGAACTTTAAACTTAATGCTATCACTTCTAATTATTATTACTTAGCATTTCTTGATTACAAAATTCTTTTTGAAAGAGGTTTCCTTATAATCCAATGATTTTGATTTTCCCAACACTTTCCTGGTTTTGATTGTTAATCAGGGCTTTACTTTAATTTAAAAAAAGTTAAAATAATCTTTGTTTGGTCAGAATGACTTAAGGAGATTGAGAGAAAATATTGTTGGTCTAGAAAAAGTTTTAAAAAAAAATTTTACGAAAAAAAATTGAATTGAAGGGAATTTTCTTCTTCATTCCTCTATTATTGTAAAAAAATTGCATTACAATAATAATTTGTAATACAATGTTCGCTTTCTATGATATAATTATTGCTATTGTTAGAAAAATGTGCATGCTCAAATTGTTACCAACAATTATTCCTGATATTTACAAAAAAGTTTATCATAAATCATAATGTAATTGTTTAGCTTTGAATTTGTAATTGTTAAAATAATATAATTGTTAGATATGATAAAATTTGATAGTTTTCCAATATAAAATGTTGATTTCAAAACCTAATTATTTTTTGTAATTTTCCTAAATTTTAATTAGCCTTTGGAGAAAACACTGAATTGATTTGTTTATTTCACTAAACCTATTCTTGGTGTTCTTCCATCTTAAATCTTGCACTGGTCTTTATTAATAAATAAATACTCACAAAAATAATTAATAAACATCTTTGATCTTTCTGTGCTTTTAAGTTGTTTTAGTCTATTGCAGGTATGATCTTAATAACCCTTTCCTAAATATGATATTTACTAAAAGAAGAGCATTGCGTCAATTCTGAATGAGGCCATGCTTTTTTTCTATGATTTAACAATTTTATGAAGGTGTTCATATTTGTAATATGATGTAAATTTATGAGACAACGGTTGTCTTGTAGATGGATTATATTATTTTTAGTGTAAATATGTTAATTTAAGTTGAATTTACATTTTTTAACGTTATTTTCTAAGTAATACTGAGGAACCTGCATGCGTAGGGTAATTGCATAATCTTGATTATTCAGAATACTCTGTAACATAAAACTCTCAAAAATCAAATCAGTGTGTTCAAAATTGACCTGTAATTTTTATAATCATAACTCAAAATTAGCTTAAAACGAAACTAACTTCACATGACTCAAAAAGTGGTGGGAACTGCTTATGACGTCAGTATATAGTACCTGGGTAAACAAAATTGGCCGAACCTAAACTTGTCATAGGGTACAGTGATGTTGTCTACAAAGGAGTTTTATTCTAATATTTTAAAATTTTTTTTTATTGCCAAAATTGAGTTAACTTTTTAGTTTAATGCAGAGAGAGAAGGATGTTTGGTTTAAGAATTCATATTTTTTAATCAAAAATTTCAATTTTGTCATTCTAAAGTGCTGTAAGAAATAAGAACTGTTTAGAAATTTTTCACCTAATGGTTTCATCCCAGATAGGAAATGGAAATATTTAAGATTTAGATTTTTAAGTTTTTTACTAGAGATGCAAATAATTCTTGATCTCTTATTTATTAATTGTTAGTTATTCTTTTATTCTTAAAACCGTTTTTCCTAAAAAACTACAGAAAAAAAATTAATATTTATTTGTAATACTTTTTCTTATGTGCAATATTTAATTTATTCAAAGTAATGCACTGGATGCGAAATTTGCAGTTTAAAATTTTATACCATTATTAGCTAAAATATTTTTGCAAGATGCATTTCGCAAAATATTCATATAAAATTTACCAAAAAAAAAATACAAAAGCACAATAGCGAATTGCTTGTGTGTGTAGAAAACTTTAAGAATTTAAACTGTGATGTAAATAAAGTACTACTTGAATAATTAAAATGAAATATGATTTTTTAGTTTTCCTTCTTTCAAATTTAATTATTTGTTAAAATTGCTAATTTTGTTTCGAAGTTAGCTGTTTTAGTGACAGTGAATAAATTAAAGAAATTGGTTTTCAAAATTTCAAAAATTACAGAAATAACTTTGAAACATGATTCTATAATTTGAGGACTGTTCCCCCCCCCCCCGATTGAATTCTCCTCCCCCTTCTGAGAAAAAATTTGTAGGTGCCCTAGACAAAAATGATGAATGCGAAAAAAAAAAGTTTTAAACTACTTTCCTAATTTGTACTTTTTTTCAATGACCTGTGAAAAGCATTATTATTTTTTATTATTAATGTTGGTTTATTTTTACGAATAACATACATTAAAGTATGAATTTTTTAAAAAATTCCATGTTGGTTTGATCACAGACTGAGCAAATTGAAATGTATAGGATTTTAAATAAAAAGTTTTTATAGAAATAAAGAAAATTGTTGAAAAAATATATTATAGGTTTTATTTTTGAATTATCTATATTCTGAGATTAACTTTCCTTATCAGTTAGAGCTATTTATGTAAAATTTTTTTTAAATCTTCATTCCAATATTCCCAGAGCAAGGAAAAAACAGGGATCTATTTAGAAGAAATTTGGGCCCTTCACAAAATATTTTAACTTAAAAACAGACCCTTCTCGAAATATTTTAGCTTAAAAACAGACCCTTCACAAAATATTTTATCTTTTATTCAAAGCGTTCTTAAATTTGTTTATCTTCATAATTAATGTATTGTAAATCGAATGAACCTTTCCCTTGGAAAAAAAAAACGAATCTAAAAGAAACACAAAGTTTTTGTGAAGTCTTTGCCGGTGCCCTTCTTTCCATCTCTCCTCATCCAGCATCCTTACCTCTGTTCCAGACTGTATGGAAGCTGATGGCGTCAGTAATCGGCCCTCTGACTTTGAATGTAGCAGGAGAGCGGGCAATGCTGTTCTCATCACATTTTATTTATTTCCTTGCTTTCACAAACTTATCTATTTCGCTATTATGTTATTTTATTTATATTTTGTAGCTTAACCCTTTCGAAATCAAATATAATATTTATAAATTTCAAATGCAGTATTCTCAGAAATTATTTCTACTTCTACAGGCATCTTATGTGGATAGTGCACCAAAAAACATTATCCAAATAACTTTTGATCCAATGATTGAATCCTCACGTTCTAGGATTCAATCTTAATGGTTTGAGGAGGGGACCTCAAATATGCTAATTGATTGAGTACAGGCGATGTTTTAAGTTACAAAGTCAGACACAAAAATGTATTTTCTTTGAATGAATATTCTTTTTTTTCCCCCCCAATGGATTTAGATTCCTGACCCCTAAAAAATAAGCGATAGCCGCAATCTGGGAAATATGGTCCCAGTATAGGTCAGAAGAGCGTTCTAAAGTTTGGACCCCTTAATATTAATTTTACTTTTTGCGTATTTCACTATATCTCTTGAACTTTTTGAGCCAATTGAAAAAATTTTGCACTCAATTCTAAAATTTGTTTATCTAAAGATAATTACATGCAAAAAATATTTTTTGTGTGAATATTTATTATTTTATTTAATAATGGTCTGGAAAATGTTGAATTGTAAGATATAAAAATTTTTAGCATAATTTTAAAGAACATTTCACATGGTGAAATACAAAATTCGAGCAAAATTGGTTGAATAGTTTCTGAGAAATTAAATTTTAACTATAAGACTTTTTTGGGGGTCAGAAATCCTAAGTTGTAAAGAAAAAAGGTAGTATGTTTATTCAGAGAAACGTGAGAAAGAATGCGACTTAACTCTAATTTTCGATTCACAAATTATTATTAGTTTTTTTCTTACAATTTTCCAAAAAACAGGACCTTTCACAAACTGTCTGAACAGGCTCCAGGTTTCTTTCCATTTAATTCTAGATTCATTCGTTTTAATCTTGTGTGTTTTGTCAGGTTAGTTTCATGAAAATAAGCAGGATTTTTTTTTTTTTTTTTAATGAGACATCACTTTGGAATTTTGGTAAGCAATCAAAATGTTTTTTGTTTTACTTTAATTTACTTTTTAATCAAAAGATTTATAAAAAAAATCTAATATAAATCTTTTAAAAAAATAATAAAAAAAATCTTTTTTTGAATCTACGTCTTGATGTGTCATTCATTATTTTACAATATTTAGCCTTTTCTGTTCTTTTTTTTTTATAAATACAAATTTAGTAGAAGTCCGATTATAAAAAAGTCAAACTTTTAAAATTCTATTTTAAAGGAACTATTTTACCGATTTCGTTTAAGATTTGAATTCTGCCATACCAAATTATGTTCTTTAAAACGGTGTAAAAATTTGTATATCCCACTATTCAAAATTATTTTGACTATTATTAATTAAAATAGTAAAAAATAATAAAGTATTAAAACTTTTTTTGCATGGAATTATCTTTGGATTAACAAATTATAATTGCGTGCAAAAACTTGTTTCTAAATTGCTTTCAAAGTTCTGGAACGCTGGTGAAATACATAAGAAGTAAAATTAACATTAAGGGGTCCAAACTTTCAATGGCTCACCTGACCAAACAATTAAAACCATATTTCACTGATTGCCTTTGTATTTTGGAGGTTAGGAATCATAATCCATCGAAATGAAGTATGTTTATTCAGAGACAGTAGGTTTTTGTTGGGTCTGATTTTATAACTTAAAATTTAGTCTGTATTAACTAATTAGTATATTTAAGGGTACTCCCTCAAAACATTAAGATTGACTACTAGTACATTAAAATCCAATCAAATTTCTGTCGAACTTTGACGGATTTTTTAAAAATTGGGGTTATTAAGAAACAAAACCGAAATGCCAATTTCCAAGACAATTAATAGATTAGATAATTACCATGATCATAGTAAATTTTTTGCTAACAACAAGAAACTTTTATTCATTTTTGCAATATTTTACATATTTTATTTTTTTGATATGTATTTAAAATAGTTATTTAAAGATTTTCTTAAAGTAGGACTTCTTTTTCTTTACAAATATCTGCAAATATCTCTTTTTCTACAGATACATATATTTGCTTGATAACTTCTTTATTCATCTGATTTTTCTAAGCGTTTATTGTTGTAGTTTTTATTTATTTTTATACATAGTTTTTTGTGCCTATATGTTAGTCTGGGTATAGAGACTATCTATTCTTTCCTAAAAATTATTTGATAGCAGTAATCATTAAATATTTTCTTATAACTATGATGACTGTCCCTTCCTTTATTAATGTATTTTATGAGAGGTCATTTTTAATTTATATTAAGTGGTTGCTTTAAATGTTCACTTCATAAACATTTTATTACAAGTTTGTTTCATCACAAGAAATGTTATTATGCAAGATTTTAGTTACAGTGAATGAATCAAGTAGGAATGAAGAATGAAAGTAAATCAATCAATGGATAAGTGAATAGTTGTAGTAACGCGTCAGCAATAAATAGCAATGAGCTTTTTGATGGGCAAGTCATTGAAGGGCATTTCTATCTATGTATCTATAAATTCAAATCTATGAATGAGCTTTTAAAATCCATAAAATTGTTTATAAACCCATAAATTTTTTAGTTTTCAAAATAATTTTTAACAAAATGGCAGCGTAATATGCTCAGTAAAAACATTACTTATTATAAATATATATTCTAGAATATTGAGGTAATTTTCTATCTAATTAATTTGAAGGCTTTTTTTAAACCTTGAGTACAATAATTGTTATTTGTCATATGTTTCTTAAATCACCATTAATATGGGATTGATATAGATTTATAATTCTCTGGTAGAAATATTGTAATTTAAAATATTAAAATCAATTTTTTACAGCGTTCTTACTTCACCAGTGAGACAATTCAAGGATTTTTTTAAAAGAAAATTCAGATTCCTTTTTCAAAATTGAATTAAGGATGCCATTTTTTGTATCGCCCGAGATGTGAAAATGTCTTCTGCCGCATCTGATGCTCATTTTACAATTTTGAAAATTTTTTATAAAATTTTCTCTTATTTTTTATACATACATAAAAATTCTGTTCAAATCTAATAAATGCATTTGCGTGTATTTAATCAGAAATTTTGATGTTTATAAGTTTTCAATAGTATCTGCAACTAAATATATAATACCTCTGGGAGATAAGTACTTTTAACATTTTGTCCAGTTTGTCTGTAGTCACAGCTTTATTAGAATTGTAAACTAACCTTGGGTTGAGCGTAAACTTATATTTATCTTGTAGTTTGTACTAATGACAGTCATCGTGTTTCACAGTGTGTTAATTGTTAAAAGATGTCTTTTACTATAGTAGAAATTGTAATATGCTGCAGAAACATGCGAATCATTTAAATTGATTTAAGTTTCTACCTTTTTAATAATTATAACATTTCTTTCTAGTCACAAACAAACATTATTCCTTGAAAGAAGCACTGAAATTCATTGTTGATAGCTGCCGTACCTCTGGGTTTTTCAGCTTATGGCGTGGCAATTCAGCAACAATGGCTCGTATCATTCCATATGCATCAATACAATTTGCATCTCACGAACAACTGAAACATGTTCTACATGTAGAAACTCATGATGAAAGGTAATTTTTATTATTAAAAAATTAGCTTATTTTTGTTTTTTATTTGAACATCTAGTTATGCATTTTTGCTCTTTATACTTTTGAAGATCACCTGTGGATCTTTTATTTTCAATAGGTAAGTAGAATTCCTTAAAGAAAAAACTGTAATTAATATCAGCAAAAAAGAAACACTAAAAATAGCTTTGGCTTGTGAATGCTAAAAAAAGTTAAACTTTTTATTAGCTTTTTTATCTTATTTTCTTTTCTATTCAAACATTGCAACAACTGCTGGTCAAAAATATTGTCATTTCTGAATACCAATGAAACCTCAGATCTATAGTCAGGGGCCTGTCCAGGCCGAATTTACTACCAGTTAGCGGTACCTTCACAAATTTAACTTTACGAAAAACGGTAGTTTCACAAAATCAACTTTAGGAAAAATGGTAGTTTCACAAAATTCTTTTTCTTAAAATTTTATTTTTGTATCCCTTAGGAAACGGTAAATCCAAATTTTTGTGTTGATTTTTTAATATAATTTTTAATTTTTCACAAATTATATCTAAATTTTCACAAAATAGGTACCTCTGAGAAAAACCTAGACAGACCCCTGATAGTAAAGCTTATTCATGTTCCCTTGACTTTTGATTGTAATTAGTAATTCTCATGCAAGTGTTATTGTTAGCACTACTAATGATGTTTAAATTTTCTTTACAGTCATTCGATCTTATAATTGATTGCTAAGTTTATTAGTGTTTGTTTATCTTTTTTAGACGTTCTAATCCTGGGAAATCTTTTCTTGCTGGATCTCTTGCTGGTGTGGTATCTACCACATGTACTTATCCTCTTGACCTTGCTCGTGCTCGCATGGCTGTTACTCATAAAGAAATGTAAGTTATTGAATAAAATTTTTTTCTACATGTGTTTATCTCTTATTATGAAGCATTTTTATGATTTAATTTTTTTTATGAAAGTATGTTATTTAAAGGTATCACATAATTAGCAAATTATTTGCATTGTGAATAAATTATTGCATTTATTAAATCAGCACATATAATCTGTTAATCTTTATTTATAATGACTGTTAAATAATTAATATTTATGTGTTTCCTTAAATTGTAGGAATGAAGTATATACTTATTTTCGATCAAGTGTTGTTGGCTACTAACATTTATCAGTTTCGATGAGATATTTGTGAAGTGCAATTTTTATTAAATAAAAATGGAAAAATTTAAAGTGTAATTATTGGAAAAAAATTATTTTACTATTTTTAGATAAACATTTTAAGTGCGAATAATTTTTTAAAATAACAATTGCGAAACATTTGTTTATAAAAATCAATGCTTTGCCAGCTAAATCATCCATATTTTGCAAACAATGTTATTTCTCTCGTGGTAAGAAATTGTAAATAAAATAAAACTAACTTAATTTCTTATTATCATTTAGGAACAGTTTTAAAAAACATTTTTCTTTATTTTTCAAATGTGTAGAATGCTGTACTGCCACACAAGTATCACTATTCGAATTCTGTGGAAAATTAAATCATGTGCCATTCAAATGTATGGACAAATTCAAAATGTAATCCTTTATGTTCCTCTTCTGTGTATTTTACAGTACACTCAGTCCCATTTATTAGATGATTAAAAATTCTTTTATAATTTACAAGGACTGCAGCACTTATCTTTCAATTTAATTAGTTTATTTATTATTTGAAAAATTTTGCTATTACTAGAATTTTCAGAAATATAATTCTTTGTGTGTGATGGTTAAAAAATTTGAATTATTTTTGTGGTTATCCATTCTTTTAACTTTTCATTCAGGTATAACAGTTTAACTCATGTTTTCATGAAAACATGGAAAACAGAAGGTTGTGCTACAATGTATCGAGGTTATGCACCCACACTGCTCGGTGTCATTCCATATTCAGGAACAGGTTTCTTTACATATGAAACTCTTAAAAGGTTGCACAGTGGTAAGATTTATTTTCTCAAATAGTTAAACTAATTTTGATTCATTTGGTTTTCAGTATTTTTCTGAACAGAATTGATTTGAATGCTCTAAAGATACCCAAAATGTATCATATGATTAAATATTTCCTTAATTTTTTACATTATTTGATTTTTCTATTGAAAATATAATTCATTTAAAGAGCATGAGGTAGTCACTAACACATACAGTAATTTCTTGTAGAATCACTGCTCCACTCTACAGACCATCCACATGAAAAATATTACTAAAATTCTCAATTATACTCTAATACACCGCACTTTAATTTCAAGTCATCGTACTTAGTTAAATTCTATTAAATAAAAATAAGGACTATGAAACTATGAAAAACTAAATTTTGACAGCAGCACAGTTCTGAAATTAGTAATTTTTTTTCAATGCTTGTTTACTGAATGGCAAAGTGTGCAATTATATATACAGTCGGGCCTCTATTTAACGAACTTCCATTCGGGCCTCTATTTAACGAATTTGCATATTTTTTCAAGGAACCAAGAACATTTTGAAAATTTCTTCGTAAAATAACTTTAAAATAGCGAAGTGAATTTTCTATTTAACAAACTTTTTTTCGAGATCCACTTTCCCTATTTCCCAAAATATTTCAGAACATTAACTTGTTAACGCATTTTATGGGGGAAATGATCTCCAATTGATTTTCAAAGCCACTTCACTTTTAGAGACAGTAGTAAAATCCCTTTCCCTTTTTGTTTGCATTTCAGACAAAAAACTCAGACAAAATTAACGGGTCTTATCAGTAACCATTAAACTTAAGAACTCATGTTGTAATGTATGTTTGAAATTACTTTGCAATTATAATTTTATCCAGCAAATAAATGCAGCTATAATTTTATACATAAATTACGCTTTTTTTAGTTGAAAATGTTATAGCATAGTTGTGTAACACTGGATAATGTTTTGTTCTATTCTTGTTTTTCAAGCAGATTTCTTTTATGGCTAAGATTTATAAAATAAATAGTAGATTGATTTATTGAATGTAGGGTTTAGTGGCACAAGATCCAAATGAGGACATGCTGCACCAGACAGTACGGTAAAATAAATAAATAGTAGATACTAGTTTACAACATATAGGTGTATCGATTGCTATTTTAATTATGTCTAGTGTTTATGAATTAAAAACCTGTTTTGTGTTGTTTAAGTATTTTAAAAGGTGATTTTCTATTTAGCGAATTTTCCAAAAAACGAACTTATTATCATGATTAAGCGACTTCGTTAAATAGAAGTCAGACTGTATATATATATATATATATATGTAATAATATGCGTTCAAAGGCTAGATAATTCAAGATACTTTGGCTAATTCAAGCAAGTAGACATTTTATTAATTTATATTAAGTTTATTTAACAACTTTTGTTGGATTTTTGCATGGATTACAATGGTGGGGTTTCCATGGCAGGGATATTGGGATTTGGCACAGATTTATCTAGACATGAAAATATGAAAAAGTCACACATTTTTGCTGGCTCCTGATATTTAAACGAGGATTCTGAAAGGGAATTGGTTGCAAGAATATCCTTAACTTAATGAAACGTCAATCAAATGGGAAAATTTAGAGATTTTGATTTGTTAAAAAGATGACGCCATTCGGACGATGGAGGATTTTTTGGATTTTCTAAATGCATATTTTTCTAAGAATTATTTCCCATTAACTTAATATAAAATAATCTTTTAATTGGCATCTTGACTTTTTATGGCTCTTTGTGACAGAACGATTTCTACGTCCTAAAATTTAAAAAGAAATCTATTTTAAGCTTATGATTTAATATAGAAAGACTCGAATGAGGTATTCTATATCACACACATTATCTTAGTTCAGACTTTAAAAATTATATTTATTGGATGGCTTAAGAAGCATATTTGTATCTTATGTGCTAAATTCTAAATATTATTTAAATTTAAAATGAACTACACATAAAGTGATAGTGATTAGTTTACCTTATGATTATTATGTATTTTTTTTTAAAAAAATCAATGAATAAGCAATAAAACATGTATAAGATCCTTTTTTTCTTTGATCTTTCTCTTCATTACCTTTTGTTTAAAAAAATTTTTCATTTTTGAATATACATAATACAACTTGCTATTTGATTTGAAAAAAAGAAATTTGATGTTTAAACTTGGCAGCCTTATTTAAAATATTTACCTAAGCTATTAGACTTTTTTAAGCCTAACATTATAATTGATTTCTGAATGTTATAAATGGTTTGTAATATTTTTTAAAATTATTATTCTATAAACAACTTAATTAGTATATGTCAATATGAAGTCTAAACTTTCAGCAAAAATTGTCTCTGATATTTCAGAAAAATTCATTGCGAAATGTTTTCTAAATGGATTTGGAGATTAACTTTTGAAGATTACCTTAAAACACTCTTTAAGCAGAAGCTTAATATAGCAATGTAAACATTTAATTACTTTTGGTTTAATGTTAGAACTTTTCAAATGTATTGCCATTTTACAATAATAGTTTCAAAGCTTGAATTGCAAACTATTTCATAATATATTTAAAACAACCCATAATTCTCTGAGATTTAAATTTCTGAGGCAATAAGTAAGGAATTTGATTTGACTCTGAATATTATAAAGAAATTTCTTTCAACATTTTACAGGAACATTTCAATGTAAAAAAATTTGATCACTGTTTGAAAAAAGCAAAAGTCAAAGCTCAGAGTGTTATAAGAAAGTATATGGTTTTCTAATGATTGATATTTTTTCAGAACGTACGAATGATAGGCCTATTCATCCAACTGAAAGATTAGTTTATGGCGCAATGTCTGGTTTACTTGGACAATCAGCTTCATACCCTCTTGATATTGTGCGCAGACGTATGCAAACAGCATCTTTAACTGGAGGTCTTTATGCTACTATCCGTAGTACCATAAGTATAATAATTAAGGAAGAAGGTGTTATTAAAGGATTATACAAAGGATTGAGCTTAAATTGGATAAAAGGACCCATAGCTGTTGGTATCAGTTTTACCACATTCGATATTACACAGACATTTTTAAAGAGTCTAGCTTTTTTTCCTGCTAGCTAACAATAATGAATAGCTACTAAAAATAAGACTCTTTTATAGGTGCTTTAATGAATGATCTGCTAGTATACGTAATAAAATGTGTGTGTAATATTTTGTATTTCTTTATACAATGTAGAAGTTTATTATAACAATAATGCATAAAATATTTCAAGGTGCTAATTTGTTTTATAAATTGGTTGAAGTTTTGAAAGTGTATGAGACTTTATGGGTTGTGACAATCCTTAATTTTTAAAATTTATGTATGGGATAGCATATGTGTGTGCAATTATTCTTATAAGAAAATTTCTTTTTATAACTCTTTTATTTCCTTATAAGCATATCTATTGTTATGGTTTTGATGATATTGTGTTTAGTACAAAACCTGTTAAACAGATATACTCAGTGTTTAAAAACTGTTATTCTTACATACTTATACATACATAATCCTCTTATACTTATCTGGTGACAATTTATATTTTCTCATCCTCTTTTATATCTGATTACAATTGACTATATTATGTTGAGTACAAAGTTAAAACAAAACTCATTTTCATGTTTAGTTAATTTCATATTTGAACTATTTTCTGCTAACTGTCCTCTATTAACTGTTTTTCTCACACGCAAGATTCATACATTTCTAGAAATATACAGTGAATTAAAAATTGTCTTTAAAAGACTCCTGTCATTCAAAAATTTATAAATTTTCCAGTTTGGAAAAATTGTTGCTTAATCCGGTATTCAGACAAAATGTAGCATGAACAAGATATTCCAACTTTGTAATTATGTCTTATTTGAATATTGCTACTGAATTTTAAATTAAGTTCTTAAAATGATAGCAAAATATATCTAATGAATGACTTAAAAAAGGTGACTATGAACGTACATTCTTAACTACCTTTTTAAATTCAATAAGCTGTGAAGGGTATGTGTATTCATAATCATATTTTCTGTGTGTCATTTGTTTAATATTTCTCATTTAAGTTCTTATTTTAAAATTTAGTCATCTTATTTTGCCCCCAAACTGTTGTACCATTTTTTCTTCTTCATTTTGTTTATATATTTTGAGTCAGCAGTATACTTTATATTGAAATTTTTCTTTTACCATAAAATATCAAAGGAATTGAATTTTTTTCTTTGTATTTAAGTTTAAATGTAGCTTCAAAAATAATGTATTTAATATTGTATTTAATGTACTCATATGCGATTTCTAAGGTAAATGAATATATGGAAAACTAAGTGAATTAAATTTCAGCTAGGACCCTGTATTTGTGCTTAATCAAAATTTTTGATGTTTTCATAAAAGATGTTCGTATTACTCTTTTTTATTCTGCAGCGAGTATTGTTTGGCTCTTTTATAAATTATCATCTCTATTTCAAAGCTGTCAATAAATGCTGAAAGAAGTTTCAATGGCAATTTTTAAAGTTTTTGAGACATTTATTCATTTTGTTATTAATTTGAACCCAACTTTTCTGTTAAATATTCACTATTTTTTGTGTGTGGTTTCTATTATAATTGTGAGTATAGGGGAAAGAAAGTTCTGTTTAGGAATTCTATATTGCAGGTTTTAAACTACCCCCCAGAGCCATGGCTAGAATTTTTTTTGCTTTTTAAATATTTACTTTTCTGTACTTTGTTTGCTCTAAATATAAAATATAGCTTTTATTAGGTCTGGACGAAAATATTTTAATCAACAAAAATTTGGATTTTTAGATTTTATGTTGCCATTTGTATAGATTTCTATACTTTATTTAATATAAAGCATTTTGTAAAAACACATTCACAGAATTTTATGTTTTGCAGACATTAAATTAATTTATGTATGAGAAATGCATTAATGTAGTAATATTTTTGTAACTGCCTGATTTTTAGAAGGTTATGATTAGCACTGTAAGCTTGTCGCGGTAAAAAAGATCTGAAATTCGTGGGATATTTTTGAAATTACGCACATTATAAATACAGAAAAATTTACTATATGATGATGTAAAAGACAGAAATTGGGCAAATAATAAAACAAAAGCTAAAAAAATGCAATTTAAAGCAATTTCTTAAAAATCAAAACATATTGAGAAATTCACGGATTTTCGAAGAAAGATGACAATTTCGCGGAAATTTGCACTGCAACAAACCTGCAGCCCAAGTTATGATATGTCTAGCTAAGCATGGAAAATGCCCTAAATAATAATATTACATTTTTTAGAAGCTCTTTATTCTGAAATTTTTAGTGTTTTTCATTTTTAAAATTACCTTTATTGCTCCATTAAATGCTTTTTTTGTGTGTTTTTTATGTGATAAAAATTAAGGATTTTCAGCAATTTTATAATTTTATTCAATAAGGATTTTCAATGGAACAATATAAATTTAGGAAAAATGTTTTACTGACCTTAACAGAAATGGAATTTTTTTTTTGAGGAAAGAAAGAATATCATAAATTTGAAATAAAACAATTTTGTTTCGAAAACAACCTGCTCTTATCGTAAAGACACGGCTCCCAGTTGAGCACTGCGATCAGCAAGCGGGTGGGTGGCTATTTTGATCAGCCTGCGTAGGGACCGTGGTATCGGTCCTCGTTGAACTGTAATACCATACAGTGCTCAACTGCCAAAGCAAGGGAGACGTCCCCTCTGCAGAGGATCAAAATTGCGATGGCATGTCTTCGGATCATCCTCAGGGATGCTTCCCAGATTGTTGCCAATAGCCCATTATGCAGCACTAGTGCGATGTAAATAAAGTACCTACCTACCTCTTATGAAGAGATATAAATGATTGCTTCAAAATTGTTTCACTTTTCTTCTACTGTATGCTATTTTGAACTCAGGAATTATTACAATTCTCATAAATAATAACGTCTAATTTATTGGTGCAAAGCTTCTTGGAATTTTTTAATAAATTTATTTTTAAATTTTTAATTTGTCGTTTAATTTTTATCAATTACTCATTATTGATGAATTTTGTTTTTATCAATAATTAAAAAAATTTTTAAGTCTATCATTTTGATTTATTTAAAAACTTTTTTGTAAGGATTCCATAGAAAAAGAGATAATTAATACCCTGTTTTATTTTTACTCTTTGTAATTAATTCAAAAAATTTTTTCTTCAAAATTTTATGCCTTCAATTAATTTTTATCATTTCTATATCAGCCTCAGGGGTCCCTAGAAATGTGAAAATTTTGCAAGCATAATGTAAAATATGAGGATCATGTTCTTAAGGAGTCATACTTAGGTTATCATCAACCAAATTAAAAAAGAAAAAAAGATTAAAGTAAATTTTAAAACTTTTTACGAAAAAAAAGTAAATGTTAAAGTAAAGTAAATATTTGAAAGCTTTTAAATATTAACATTAAAATTTTTTCAAAAAATCGAAATTTTTATAATTATATATATTTTTTATATTTCTGAAGCAGAACTTTTAAAAATGCAGGACTCTCAGGGATGAGATTCTTCCGCGGATTCGCGGATTTCCGCTTTTTTTCAGATTTTTCCATTTTTCCCTCTGATTTCCTCTGAAATTTTTTTTTTGTACAAGTTAAAATATTTTATGAGGAATTTAATTTTCCACGGAGCGAAATTACTGAAGTCTTTATTCCACCCTCTGAAGTTTCTCTAAAAATCATTTCCTTGGGATAAAACTGGTTGATCCCAAGGAAATCCCAGGGATGAGATTCTTTTTGTCTCTCGAATTTCAACCTTTTTATCAAAAACTCCGATTCTCTAAAAGTTTTGTTTTTTTAATAAATATCTCGCTTTTTTTTTAAATTCAGTCATTGAAGCAAAATAATTATATTTATTTACGATTTTCAAAGATAAACTGAAAATTCAAACTACGTCCTAGCTCCTAACCCTTCCGTATTTTTACTTACATTTGCTGTTTTCTCCGATTTCACGCACAGAAAATAAGATTTTCCGTATTTTTTATCCGTCGGCGGGATAGCTCGTATTTTCGTAATTCAGACGTCGCTGCTTCTTGTATTCTGGCGTGAAAACAAACAAAAAAATAGAAAAAAATATATAGGTGGATTTGCGGTGAAAATATTTATTTGCTCATTCAATTAATCTTGCAAATTTTTATTTATTATGTCTAAACAAAAGCAATACAAACAAGCCTTTTAGAAATTTCAAGTCCAGACTCTGCAAATAACTCGATTTTTATTCACGCGATTTTAATATCAATCATCGATTTTCGTATTTACCTGATTTAAAAGTTGCGCATTGCGATTCTTATTT